GTTACAGATTATCTTGTCAGTAAATCTACTACTGAAGTTGGTGTTTTTCTCGTTACGATTTTGTTTATTATCCTATTGTGTTTAGTATATATTGTAATACTATCATTGTTTTATGAATCCATGTTATGAAATGCCAGTGGTATATTATCTAGTTGTGTTTAGTATATATTGTAATACTGTCATTTGTTTTGATTATAGTAATGGCTCCAAAAAACTTGATGAAATTTATTCGAAGACTTGATTATGAAGTACTGTATAAAGTAAGATCAAGTAGTGATTCCAAGTCAGAATCATTAATGCTTGTACAGACTTCTGTTTTACCTACATCAGTCTCCAATCCTGTGAAATCTGATTCTGGTTCCTACCATGTTAAACTGGTTGAAGAAGAAGATAATTAGTCAGAAGAAATTCCATTGCATCAATTGGTGAAATGGCAGAAAACTTGTCAACAACGAGTCCAAATACGAATTCTGAATGAAAAATGGAAAAATCTTTGTAAAGAAGATATAGATAGCAAAACTTTCAGTCTAGGGAAAGAGGTAATGTTTTTTCACTGTATTATTTGAATATATACTTATGGCATGATAATGTTAAGGTGGTTTCATTGTTTTTGAAATAGGCTTATGAAGGTTTCTTAGAAATCAGAGAACGTTGGCTTGTTTCAGAAGATGTGGTCGAGGATTTGACAAAACAAAATGAAGATGCGATTACCGAGGCTTGTAGATTGAAAGAACAATTGAAAATATCAAAGGATGTGTTTGAAAAGGTCAAAACCGAATTGAAACACTGTCAAGAATCATTTAAAAATGTTGAAGAGTCTTTTGCAAATGAGCGGCAGCAAAATGAAGTCTTTAAAAAGAAAAGTTATGAATTGTCTGAAGAAAATAATAAGATTAAATCTTTAATTGCACAAGCTAAGAAATATAAAGAAGAGGCTTATAATTCAGTGTCAGAAATGTTTTTGGCCACCAGAAAAGCTTGTGTCAAAGAATTTAAGCACAGATTCCCAAATGAAGATTCTAGTTTTTTAGAGACAATTGTGTTGAAAAATGAGGAGATGCCATCTAATTTTGATTATATTGATTGCAATGCTGTTGTACCTTTCTCTAGTCCACTTAATGGCACTTTTGTAAATATTTAAACTGTTTGTTAAACATTTTCACAATATTTTGTCAAAATTTGGCTCACAAGTGTTTATAATTGTGTTATTATCATGGACGTGGATGTATTCAGTTGATGCTAATTTTTGTGTATGCGAAACAAAATCTCCAGTTTATGTAATGTTATTTTTGTAAATATTTAAATTGTTTAATTGTAATATTAATGTTAAATATCTTGATGACGCCTGTCACGCGATAGTTTATAGATAAGTTGCGTGTGTAAAAAATATGTATTTATAACAGATAATACATTCAATGTAGTGTTCATGATATCTGACAATAATAATATAAAACATATAAATATCTTTATATCAAGTAAATTATATTACTGTATTTATTTAAACATTTAATGTGACCTTTTCATACTCATATAAATATGTTTATTTTTTCACATCAATCTCTCATAAACAATGTCTTATATTATATACAATGGATCAATCCTTTCTGTTATAAACAGTGGTTCATATAATATAGAACATATTAATCCCTACAGTTAAAGACTTATTTGAAAACCATATTTGTCAATGTCTCCGCCGATTCATCTTCTTGCAAGGCTAGCAGAATCTTGATACCTTGTCTTGAAGTTGCTTTTGATAGTGCCACGTACAGTTGACCATGTGTAAAGACTTGATGGTTCATATACAATCTTACTGTTTTGAGTAATTGACCCTGACTTTTGTTTATTGTCATACAGAAGCTAGCTGTCACAAGTAACTATCTTCTCTTCAACCTGAAAGGCCACTTCATATCTGCATTTGACATTATTATTCTGGGAATTGTGACAATATCTCCAATGTTTGACTCGGTGATAATCATTGCTTGTATGGACCACTTTCCTAAATGGGTTACAATCAATCTGATTCCATTGCAAAGACCATCAGATTGATTCAAATTACGCAACAACATAATTGGATCGCTAATTTTTAGATGCAATTCATGTTTGGGCATGCCGGAACACATCAGAGAATTAAGAAATTCGGTGGGATAGAGAATGTCATCATTGTTTGAGATACCTGCTACTTTGCAAGTGTTGTCCAAGCTGAAATACGTCTTTCCATCTGTTGGCAAACTCTGGGTGATATAGTCGTTCAATCTATGTACTGTCTCATTTTTGGGTGTCAATATTGCTCTCTCTCTCTCTCTCTCTCTCTCTCTCTCTCTCTCTCTCTCTCTCTCTCTCCCTCTCTCTCATATAATCAATATCATTTAGCTGAGCAGATAAATCGGGAAAAACAGCATTCATAATCGTTTCTTTGTGACTGGTATGTTGATCGATTTTCAAGTCTTTAGGTATTTGGATGTAACTTTCATCTTCTACAACATCCCTTCCTTATCTGATATTAAGTAACCATTTGTCAAAAGCCTTCAAGTTATCCAATTCTGTTGGGTTCACCAAGTTTGTCTTCAACCTCATGTTCTCTGTAAGTGTCAACACTGTTACATGTTTCCAAAGGGAAGATGATGATAAACAGGCTTGTATTACGTCATGTTTTTTCCCTTTTGGTATAACTAGTAGAATCTATCTGAAATCACCACCCAGGGCAATGGTGAGGCCTCCAAATATTCTATCTGCGTTTGATTGATCTTTTTCAGACAAAATATCTTTCAAAGTTCTGTCAAGAGCTTCAAAGCAATACCTGTTTGTCATGGGTGCTTCATCCCAAATGATCAAAGCTGTTTGCGCAAGTAGTTTTGCCAATTGTATCCCCCTTTTTGATATCACATGTACTTTTCTCAATGATATCTAAAGGAATTTGAAAACGTGAATGTGCTATTCTTCCACTGGATAGCAGCAATGTAGCAATTCTTGATGTAGCTACGGCCAGTATAATTTTACCTTCGGATCTTAATTTGGCCATGATTGTTGACCATAGGAAGGTTTTGCCTGTTCCACCATGTCTGTAAACGAAAAATGGTGTTCCACTTTGATTGTTGACGGAATCAAGGATCGAATCATATACACGTCTCTGGCCATTGTTGAGACCCTTGTATAAATTACTGTGCACTGTTTTCATGTTGTCGATATCATAATCTAATTCTTCGGTAATTAATCTATTCTGTGAATTCTCAAAAACAAAACAGTCCGGAATTGGCATTCTAGGGAAATCAGCCAAGGATTTTTCTCCCTTTTTCATGAGCTCATCAATCTCGAACAATGCATGATTGTGAATCTGTTCCTCAGTGCATCTCAATTCTGTCATCCGCATTTTCTATTTAAGAATGTAGGAAATTTCTTCAGATAGACATTCTGCATTTGCTCTCCAGAAGCCTCTTGGACTCACCACTTCATTATATACAAGAATAGTTACAAAGAGTTGTCTTAACTGTCTTCCGGTAGCCCATGTTGATGCTTCATCCAAGCAATCATTCCACTCTTTATCATCATCGAGCAATCCTAATGCATAACATGCATCTTTGAATGTAACGAATATTTCTCCGTTGACAGTTAGAATATCCTCAAATGATGTTGCTCCTCTTACTAAGTTCAGAAGCATTCACAAATAATATTTCTCACTACTACTTGGAAATGCAAAATACACCTTGATTTTTGTCGTGGGGACCATTGTCTTTTTGTATCCTTCCAAACCCATTCACTCGAAAAATCAGGATAAGTTAATGATCTTACAGAATGGTATCGTTGATTACACTTCATCCATTTAGTCAATTTCATTTGTGTAACAACCTTGCTTTCCAAAAGTTGAACCAAACAGTTACTTGGATCGAAAATAATTGTTTGTTCATTCTCTAAGTGGAATGGCAATCTTTCAACAGCTGGTTCTTTGTAATACATATCAAACTTAAATATCCTCCAGCAAGCTTCCATAGAAGAGATATATCTGTAATGTTTTATATTGAATTACTTAATATCTTATTTATAACAAATATCAACAAACAATATAAAAACATTATATTTGATGTATTTTGTAAATACTTGCAGTCCAGATATGCCTTTATTTCGTCTTTGTCCTGTAAAATCTCGCATTGATTGTTCTATTGACCATTGTTTTCAATTTCCATAGAAACTCTCGTTCTGTCTGGCCTTTTGTTGACATACTTGAATAGATACTTGATTGATCTATGTTGACTACATACCTCAATATTTATGTGAGCATCAAACTTAAGCAAAAGATTCCTATTATAAGAAACAACAAAACGGTTATCCAGTTTGATACCCTTTTTCTCAACAAATGCTTCATTATTTTGTCTTCTATACATTAGGTATCCGTTGTCATCCATAGATGTTTCATTGACAAATTTATTCGAAAAATGTTTTTTACATCTTCCTCTTTCCATACATAGTGAATTCTTGTTAACATCATCGCACGGACCTTGGATCATGTGATTCTCCACAGCTACAAAGGCAAAGGCAACACCATCAGTTTCCTTATTTGGAATTTCAGTAGAAACTATTTTCATCTATTTTGGATGCTAAAGGATTCTTATATTGGGAATGTAGAAAAACCAATATATGAGCATGTAAGAGGCTCTCTTTTGGAACTCGATAGTGTAGATAACTGATAGAAACAATTATAACGTGTTCAGCAATAGTTGGTATAACATAATTTCATATCATAAATTATCAACGAACTACAATTTGTAAAAAAAAGTAGAAATATTATTCGTTGGAATACTTACTTGCCATGGTTTCACCAAAATATTCACCTTTTTTTATCTCTCGCATTAGCTTAAGCAATTTGATCTCAAAAACTCTGCAAACTGCTATTATTCTACTTTCTTGATCACATTGTCCAATACAATTCTATAGATATTGTATCTCGAGCCACTTGGGATTACAGGTGAACGTCAGAAAAATATTTGGATATCCATAACATCTGCAAATCACCATTGCATCTTGATAATTCTGAACACGATACCGGAGACTGCTAGTGTGAGACGAAGGGGCAACGCAGATTTCCCTAAATGTTGTGCATTAACATCAACCTTTGAAATGGCATCCATCAGCCCATTGTACAAATCACTCCTCAATTTTTTCTGATTGTTTCTAATCCAACAAAATCCTTCATCTTCAATAGCCATATATGCATCCACAGTATATTGCTGCAATAATCTACCTGATTTCAACAGAGTATGCCCTTCACATAATCTATACTGCAATCGAAATGCATAATATTCTCTCATGCTTAACATATTTCTCTTTGAAGACTTTTTTTCAAGAAAGTCTTTATGGTTAATGTCAATTATGTATCCATCTTCTCCATATGAAAATAATATTGGATAACTTAATGCCATAAAGCTTGGATGCAAGTCAAAAGTTCTTTGAAGACCCTTTTTCGAATGATGAACAATAACATCTTTTCCAGTTTTTGAAATTCCAATATCACCGACAATTAAACCCGCAATTTCAAATTCAATAGGCAAATTGTATTGTCTTCCATCCTTTTCCCTTTTCATTTTTAACCGCTCTAATATCATTCCAATGGATATGTTTCCTAACAGAATGAAAACTTTTAACAAATTCATTGTTCTCATCAAACATCAATTGCAATTCTTGTACTAATTCCCTATCAACGGTAGCATCGGCTGTATCACCTCGTATAGAATTTAATCTATGACTGGTTTCATACTCTGTGTCATGAATATAAAGCTGCACAAACTGAGGTTTCCTTCCTTCAGGTGGAAGTAACGATCTTATTTGGTGGTAATTCTGTCTGCAGAGTTTGAAAACGTATGGACCACCCCTTTGGTTCATCTCATTGTCAACATGCCCTCCCATTGATGTAAATGAGAACAATGAATTTTATATTCTTATTTTACTCCTGAAACTAATCCTTTTGTTACCACTAGACACATCCAATAAACTTTTTAATGGTTCTGGCGGTTCTTTCAATAACAACAACTGAACTTTGCCATCCATACAACATAATGAAAACAAAGGGATGGTTGGCTCTTGGTTCTTGACAGTTCGCTCTTCATACCACATGACTGATCCACAATGAATGCACTTGTAGAATGGTTTACCAAAGTTCCAGGACTCTTTTCCCACTGTGCAAAGAAATAATGTGTTATTTTTAGAAAGTAATTGACGCGTTATGTTAATTTAGAAACTCAGAATGACATTTTTTTTACTAATATTAATACTTGAGTTAACATTTAAATATGTATAACTAACAATGTGACACTTGTTACCTCTTTCTGTCGAGCGAGATTTTGAACCTCTATTTGTCTTCGATAAAGATTTCTTTTGTTTTTTCATTGTCTGACTTGAGAATGAAAATAACTAAAAAAAAATCATCTCAATTTTCAACAACCCTTGCAATGTCAAAATTGTTCGGCAAAGTTCTGCACCTTTATTTTTACAAAATAATGAAATAACATTATGTTTTTAAGATATAACAAACTGAATGTTTAACATGTTGTTAGATTCAGGGCTCACGATTGTATTGTTCTACATTAGTAATTGAAATATTAGAGTCAGGCTCTACACACGGAGAAGCACTTGAAAAACATAGATTTAGTTAGTCAATTTAAGTTATCATAATATAAAAAATATAGGTAACCACTAATATAATATTTTTTACCTCTCTTTCTTTTTAATACGGACATTCTCTCTGTTATATTTTCCTCACGTAACTCATTTACATTTACAGAAGCATTTGAAGAACTTGTAGAACACTTCTCTGTGTTTGATACACATTGTTTCCATTCTTTAGATCTCTCATCTGAATTTCAAAATAATAATAACAGAATTAATACTATACCATGCAACAAATTATATAATTGAAAAGCTTAACCAAAAGCAAAAACAGTAATTAAATATCTCATTTATATTTACAGAAGCATTTAAAGAAATTCTTGGATCTTTCTTTGTCTTCGATACACAAGTTTTATGATTGAGACTATGTTACACAACAAATTATATCATTAAAGAAAACAAAAACTGATTTACTCAACCATGTAATATACAAAATGTTTGTATGACTATAACAAAATAAATAAGGTAGTTACGTTTATTGGATACTTTATTATGGATCATTTTGCTGTGAAATTCATACATCAAAACACCGATTTATAGTTCATGAATAACTAAAAGAACAAAGATATAGACTGAACTCGTTTACTTTTTACATAATAATTATACGAAGTGCTAATATTAAATATACCTTTTTTCTTTTTGGAGATTGACTTTCTGACTCGCTTTGGAAATCTAGGCCTTTTTTTGTTCCATATAAACATTCTCAATTTTCTATTCTCCTTGCATACTTTTGTTCTGAAATCAACAATACTTATTTGTCCAGAATCATATGCCAATCTATAGTTTTCAATCGCTTGCAAATATAATTCCTGAATGTATGACTGTATAGCTGCTGCATCTTCATCTGTAAGAACCATTTTATAATCTTGCACCTGACCAAAACAAAAAATATATTGTGTTAATTGCATTCTTTTTTTCACCTCTGTCGAGTCCAGATATTTATAATTGTATGCAAAAATTGATAACAAATGATTTACTACAGTTTATTTATGTAAATTTATGGATGGACAAATATTTTATTAAAACTTTATAGCATAGAATATTATGATCTTGCAGCAAGATTTGAACTGAAACAGAGCTTCATCTGTTACAGCCACACATTAAAATAGTTCGGCAACATAGAGATCTTTGAACAAAGGAAGCATTTATTATTATAAATATGAATAAGTTGTTGGTTCGGCAATGGTCCATCAAAAGTATATCATCCATTTGTTTGTTTGACAACTGAGAATATGATCGACTCTGACATTAAAACGAAAAACATACTAGCATTTATTACAATTATACTTATGTTATGGTATTCTTCTTAACTTGTCACAATTCTACAGGCCAATTCTATATAAATAAATGGTTCATCAATTAAATTTTGATCTCATGGAAATCTTAATTGATTACAATTCTAATGAAAAATTATGATTAACCATGAAGTTTTGAGTTTGTTCTTTATTGGTTTTCCAAGAATTTATATGAATATTTTCACAAATTAGGATCGTCAAATTCACTTGTATAAAAAACTTGAGTTATTTGAATCTGATATCATAATCAATATTCAATTTAACAATTGTGAAAAAATAGTTCATAGAAAGAATATATTCATTACCTTTAATAGGAATCACATTGTAACTATAAGGAGCAATCGTTTCATCCAACTGTATATATCTACATTAACAAACAATAAATTAAAGATGTAAGAGGAATACAATGGTAAGAAAGATGTAAATATTATTATGCATAAATTATTTAAGAAACAAAAGCAGTACAATATAAAGAAAAAAGAAAATGTAAACCTTGAAGTAGATCAAACACATCATACATAAAATAATATCAGTCTAACATTCAGATGAATGTCTCTCTCTCTCTCTCTCTCTCTCTCTCTCTCTCTCTCTCTCTCTCTCTCTATATATATATATATATATATATATATAAATAGCAATGTTATTAATATCAATAACTAGTTAAACACGATATTCTATAACATTTACAATGTATGAGTCTATTGAAATTTACATAACTATTTATATATTTATTTATAAATGCCTTGTATTATACCTCATCATTTATTTATAGGATCAGATTCATCTCACTTGCAGTTTATTAAGAGCAATACATTAATGAGCAAATTAAATTTTACAAAATAAATCATTAGGAAATTAATAGTTCGATATATCTTTATATTTTTTTTTTAAAACAATAATGAAACCATGAAGTTCATAATTAATTATATTTTTATCAGGTGTAATTATATTTGGAGTTGGACATCTTCTGCTTGGTTAAAACATCATCGTTTAACGTGTTCATCGTCTTTAAAGGCAAATTAGGGAATAAGGGCATTTTATCGTTGACTTTGTAATCACAGCTGCACTTCAAAATTGATTGTTTTTATCGACTCATATAATTGTTCAACTTTGTTTTTACTTGCATCAACCAACAATTTGTGGGTAATTTTAGTCTTTCCTACTGGGTTTTATCTATATCTCATTTTTTTGTCTGACAATGTCGCACATAGAAATTCCTAGCACAGTTACCTGTACCGATCTTTTGCAATTTCGAAAACATTACAATATCGCCGACGATTTTGATCTATTACCATGTGATGGTTTTAAATCTTTTATAAATTCGGAGACCCCTCCTGGGTTTTTCACCTTTTTTGAAATTTTTCTCTAGTGTGGTCTTGTGCCTCCTTTCTCTTCGTTTGTGGAAGAAGTCATGATTTGTTATAACGTTGCATCCACTCAGCTCCATCCCAATGCCTGGAGATTAATTTTGAGTTTTGAAAGTCTATGTTTAATGCACGATATTCTACCCATGTTTTATATTTTTAACTATTTCTATGCATTGAAAAAGAGGCCGAATAGTCCATTTTATTTTATCGAGGGTATAAAAGGCCAAGTACTGTTAACAGGATTATCAAATAAAGTGCGAGGATGGAGTGATAGATATTTTTTGTTGGGTTGCAAAAAAGGTTGGGGTGGACTACCCACATAATGGACAAAAGCTACAATACCCCACCAGAATCTTGGTAAAATAGATGTGAAGGAACCTGGTATCTAGACATTAGAGAAGTTTATTCAAAATCAACAAACATTCGATGTTTTCAATATGTTGGAGAAATACTCAATTCTTCAATTCAAAAGAGGTATTACAGTTTTTTATATGACCACTTTTCATTTGTTTATTAACCGATTCTCATGTAACTTTTTTTTTTCGCTGGTTGTAGTGGATATCGACATTGAATCCCCAAATTTAAAAGCTTCAACATCAACTTCTACACCCAAATTGATGGACGGTATTTCTGTGGGACCATCTACATTCGAAAATGAAGATAAATATGAAGATATATAAGAGCTGCCACTAATAAGATGAACCAAGCATATAAAGGTGTGTGATGAGGCAGTTCAAGTTACAGCCCCTCCCAATAGGTTAAAAACAATGTCTAAAAAAGATCTTGAAGAACTTACATCGGAAGAGGTGAATTCTGTGATTTAAAATTGATGAATTTGATTTACTTTTAATTTATTAAAAAAAATTATATTATTGTTATTGTTGTTGACATGTTTGCGGCACAAAGAGTTATGGCTTATTTGGAAATCAGAAGGCGATGACTGGCCTCCGATAAGATCATTGAAGATTTGGAAAGAAACAAAAAAAAGATTTATTATTTAGAGGGACAAAATCACAAAGGAAATAATGGATTTAGAGAAGCAGATGGCAGAAGCTATGAATGAATTGGAGTTTCATAGGAATAAATGATCAGTGATTGAAAAATCATGTTCAAATGCAAAGTTAGAAAATGATGTTCTTGAAAGAAAGGAGAAAGAATTGTTGGATTGCAACAGCAAGCTAAAATCTAGCCTTGTTGTAGTTGAAAAGTAAAGAGATAGAGCTTCTGATATTGTCTCACACATGTTCTTGAACACTCGAGAAGTATGTTGTGATGCATTTAAGTCCAGATTTCTTGATGAAGATTTCAGTTTCTAAGAGAATTTTGTTCTGCAAGAGGAAGAGACAAATCTAGTAAAAGAGGATTGAAACACAGACGTTCCTTGAAGTTTGCTGTTACTTATAGTTTGTCTACGGATCTGATTCTTATAGTACTTCCATCAAATTTTTTTGTTCAGATCTGGATTTTTTGTTTTGGAAATATCAATTTTCCCAAAGGGCGATTCGATTTGCATTTGAGGGGTGTTGAATGATAATCTCTAAGAGAAATTTGCTTAAGTTCGTGAAATTGTTGATAAGTA